GCTATGAGTTGGGGCCGACTTGACGGCAAACAACAACAACAACAACATGCATTCCAAAGTAGTTTCACCTTCCTTATTTGTTTTAATAATAATAATAACCCAGTGAGGTTGAACTGTTCCCATTATTCAGATGAAGAAATTGAATTCTAAAGAGTGACATGTCCAAGAGCATAAAATACAAAGTTCTAGAGGCTTATGGCCCTTGGTTCAGCCCTCTTTTCTCACATGTCTACTCTGGCCAAAATAAAGGAGACATAGTGCTTGCCCTCAAAATAGTTTGGTAAGGGAGACAACAATGTTTGGTCTTCTAATAGAGTGCTTTAAAAGAGGTACAAAGTCACTATGGGATCACTGAAGTAAGGGGGACTAATTCCAGTTGGTGGGTTTAAGAAAGACTTCATGGAGGAGGTGACATTTATGCTGGGTCTTGAAATATAGGTAAGCTTTCAGTGCAGAGATAGGGGGAGACCACTGCAGGCAGAAGGCTGAGCAAAGAGGCCCAAAGGAAGGGAGCCTGGGGGTATGCTGAGAATGGGAAAGTACCTGACTTGCTTGGGATGTCCTTTAGTCAAAGGAAAAACAGGTGAGGCTGGAGAGGTGGGTTGGGTGCAGACTGTGAAGGATCCAGAAGGGCAAGCTACGGAGATAGAAGACTATGAGAAATCTCCAAGGTTTCTGAGCAGAGGAGAGGTACCATCAGAGATGGCCAGTGAAGGGTCAGGTGAGAGTACATGCAGGAATATCAGAAGGGTAAAGAAACCTGCTGTGGAGTCTGTGTCAGCGGTGCAAAGAGGGCCAGAGCTCTATGCACGCAGCACCTGCTCCAGCTTTTCCTTCTTCTCACAGATGCCAGAGACAGCAGAGCAATATCAACCTTTTAAGGCCTCGGTCAGCATCCATAACTCCCTAGATGTTCCCATGAAGGACTGCGTGATCTGCATCCTTGGTAGGGGGCTCATCCACAGAGAGAGGACCTATCGGTAAGAGACTGCAAACTTCTCATCCTTTTTAAATGTTTCAACCTGTCAGAAACACAGGAACCCAGCATAAATGACAGTCTTTTTAGGTGTCCATGGAGAGAGAACAAATACCTCAAGAAATTGAACTAGAGGATTAAGGCCAAGCAAAATGACCTCTGTCATCTGGGGGCCAACATGTCTACAAGGAAATGGGAGAGATGCTGTGTGGGACTCTCAGATATCCATCTAACCCTGTTGCCCCAGTCATGCTGGGGGGGAGCTGGTACTAGAGAATATCACAAGGAGGGGTAGGCTGCCTCTTGGGTGACCAGAGAGCTACATTCTATTACTTACTACCACAATATAGAATTTTGTTTAATTATTCCATTTTATTCCTATTCCTTACTCCATTCCCAACACCCCTCTACGTCCCTGTTTGTATGTATATCCTTTTGTTAACATGTTTTTGTAAAACATGTACTGGAGCTTCCTGAACCTGTATTTTTAACATCTATAAATGATGTTCTTATATCTGATTATTTTTCCTATTTTTTAGTTGGAACTGTTTTTAAGATCCAATCATGTCTAATCCTTTGCTTCTACCACACAACACTCCATATTATGTACAGCCACTACACACCACTGCACTCTCATAGTGATGGGCATCCAGATTGTCTCCAACTCCCTGACACCAAATAATGTTGACATAAATATCCTCATACATGTCCCCTTAACTGTTTTTTCAAAATATGGAGGGAGGGCGTATCTATCCAAGCAGGAGCCTGGGTGGCAGAAATGGTTTGTACTCCACTACTAACCTAATGTTTGGCAGTTTGAACTCACCCAGCAGCTCTATGGAAGAAAGGCCTAGCAACTACTTCTGTAAAGATTACAAGAAAACCCTATGGGGCAGTTCTACTTTGACACACATGGTATTGCTGAATTGGCACCGACTCAATAGCAATGGATTTGTATGTACACAGGAATGGGATTGTTGGATCATAGATATGACCCCTCAGATTTGTTTGCACAATGGCTACAAGCTATACTCTCTCCAGATATACATGAGGGTTTTATATTTTATATTCCTACCTCTTCTCTAGACAATACCACTTTCCTATTTTTTTCTAGACTATTAAAATCTCATTGTTTTAGTTTGTAACTCTTCACATATGAGCCTTTTTTGTTTTATTGTCTATAGTTTGTTCATATCCTTTACCCACTTTTGATGTTCCTGCCCTTATTCTAGACATTAGTCCCTTGTTGGCTTTAGATGTTTCAAGTATGTCCACTGCATCTTTCACTAAATACACAATTTAAAGTTCGAGATGCCTATTTCTGCTGTCTCTGATGTCCAATCAGGTTGACTTATTAAGCCACTGCCTCAGCCTCATAAACACAATTGAGTCATTCTTGCCAGTTGGGAAGAGGAACTGCTAACATTCACCCAGTCTGGTGGTCTCCCAGATCAACTGTGGGACAAAGCCCCTCAAAGAAAATGTACACCATTCCCTCAGCCACCAAAAGGTCTAGAGGCAGGCCAAAAGGACCCTAAACACCAACTGTTGACATACTGACATCTTCATATGCCCATTGTACCCATTCAGTTTAGCAGTGAGGGTTCCAAAATTGTAGCTTTTCCAAACATATCCCAGTACAATTACTAAGAATTATACCAGGATCAAGTCACAGGTTAAAAAAATAAATAACCAGCTAAAGCATGGAAGCCCTTAGAATAAGATTGTTTTCCTTCTCCACTATGCAATAGCTCAACATAGGAAGGTTCTGGTCTTCTATCTCCTCATAACCACCCGTTTTAACAGCAAGGTACTTACTTAGATGTTTATTTCTACAGAGTCCATCTCCAGTTCAAATAAGGATCACAGTCATTGGGACTAGCAGAGCAATGAACTTGGGACACAACTAGCATTTGCTTTTCCTTTATTTCAGGTTAAGTTCAGTGCAGCCTGGAAGCACCTTGTGCACCCAGTTCCAGTTGACACCAACACAAGTGGGGCTCCAGAGGCTCACTGTGCAAATGGATTGCAACATGTTCCAGAACCTAACCAACTACAAAAGTGTTACTGTGGTAGCCCCTGAACTTTCAGCTTAAAAATCCAGCAGCTCTATCCCACTCTCCCCAACCATCCCCTTGAAGGTATAATCTTAAAGCCAAACATATGCTGGGAAGGAAAACTTTGTATACCAGCAAATGAATCTGAAGTCAGGCTTTGTGAAAGAGTGACCAAAGTAGAACTAGATTCCAATTCATTTCTGTCACCTCAGCTTAAAGCAGTCATTAAGGCCAGTTGTCTTACAATAAAACTACTGGGTGAAACTACTGAATGATAAGAAAAAAAGACTTTGAAAAGGTACTCAGATAAGTACATTCAGATTTTCTAGGTTGAGGGTTTTTCACAACCATTCTACTTCTCATTAAAAAAGCTATGAACTGACAGGTAAGGGAAAGATCCCAGTATTTAAATCATCCTTCTATCTCTGATGAAGTGGAACAATATTAGCTAAAAATTGAATTGTAAGGTAATCTGAAGATTACACTGATTATCCTTAAAGATCCAAAGATGACTGAACAATGTTTTAAAATATATAAGACCTGAGGGTAGAATGATCTAGATTCAGCTACAGACAAGTCTTTGAGTTCCTATGTTCTTTAAGTGTCCCATAATTAAAGTCTCATGGACCATGAATTTGATCCACTTAGAGAAATATAAAAATCATGAAGTATATAAAAAATAGGCCCTATATGGAAAAATAAAAGAACTGGACTCCTTCTGTACAAAGATATTGATTCTTTAATGTTATTTTTTCGCTCTGGTACTCTATTAGTTTGATTTAGGATAGTTCTCTTTATGACACTCGTTAAAAGTATAGAATGGCACTTTTTAACAAGTGAATTAAAACTCATTTAGCTTAAGGAATTTCAAGGACACATTAAGCATTCAAAAGAATTAACTGCTATTGCTGGGTATACCTAAAGAGACCATGAGAACATCAGAAAGGCAGATGTGGTGAATTACACCTAGAGAAGGAAGAGGAATGGCATTAGATGTAGTAAAGTCCTGGAGTACAGTTTAGGCCATCAGAATATTCATCATTACAGGTTTACCTTGCTTTCCAATATGTGATCTTCCAGAGAGATGCAAAAGTGTAAGTGGCAATGATTCTATAAAAACCTTAACTGAAAATTCAAATTATATAAACTCTCGATCATAACACCTTAATTTTTTTTTTTTATTGTGATTTGGGTGGAAGTTTACAGAGCAAATTCACTTTCCATACAGCAGTTCACACACACGTTGTCTCATGACATTGAGTACAATTTACCTCAAGGCAATAGCTCCCCTCCCACTTCCTCCCGATAGTTACCTCTTCCCTGTGTCCATCCCTCCATGCACTCCTGCCCCCTGAACTGTCTCCCTGTGCATAAATAGTCCTTCTTTCTCCCATGATTGTTCTCTCCAAGGAGTGTATCTACCTCAGGTACATGTTCAACTCATACGGCTGTCTTTTGTTTGGCTGGAAGCCACAGGTATGGGCTCAATTCCAGAACTGAAGGGCAGCTAGGGACCATAGTCTCAGTGGTTCTACCAGGCTCTATCAGACCAGCAAACCTGGTCCCCTTTTTTTATTTTTCCAAATGATTTTGAGTTTTGTTCCACACTGTTCTCCCTTTCTATCCAGGATCTCCTACATAGATCCCCCTCTGAGTAGCTGACAGTGGTAGCAGGGCACCATCTAGTTCTTCTGGTCTCATAGTCATTTAGGCTGCAGATCAGATGGTGTACCAGTCGCTAGGACTAATTGGTTCCATGAATCTTTGGTTTTCTTCATTCTTCTCTGCTCTGGATGAGGAGAGACCCATCGTTGCATCTAGATGACTGCTTGCAAGCTAGCAAGATCCCAGTCACTACTTGCTGAAGTAGGAAGTGGAACAATGTTTTGTGTAGTATCTATCTTATATATTAAATTCTGTAAAAATTTGGTATTAACATTTGGGGACAGATAATATGTAACAAAGAGAACAATATAAATATGTATAAGGAAAACGAACCTGTTCAACAATGTGGAACAAGCCTAAAAGATGAGTTCAATGCCAGAAAATAAGTTTGGAAGATGAAGTCAGCTGGAACAATATTCAAAAGGACTTACTGATAAGAATTGTGACATTATATAACATGATGAATTACTAACAGGGGTTAGTCATCTTTTCTAAACAAATTAAAATGTTTTTGTTCTAAATATACTTCTGATCACAACCAGATCTTCAGACCTATAAACCTAAATGAGAGCAATGGCCTCTTGACCCACTGTATTTCTGGTAGAAAACAACACACTTTATTGCAAATAAGAATTGCATGAGAGAAGCTAAAGACTGGGAAAAAAACTTTGGCTATGACATATCTAACAAGAGTCTAATCTCTAAAATTTATGGTAAGCTTCAACACCCCAACAACAAAAAGACTAATAGTGCAATTTAAAAGTGGGCAAAATATACTTCACCAAAGACAACATTCAGGAAGCTAATAAACACATGAAAAGATGCTCACAATCATTAGCTATTGCAGAGATGCAAATAAAAACTACAATAAGATACCATCTCACCCCTGCAAAGTGGCACTAATTTAAAAAAAAAAAAAATGCTGACAAGGTTATAGGGGAGATTAAAACACAGCTGTACTGGTGGGACTGCAAAATGGTACAACCACTATGGAAAATGATACAGCACTTCCTTGAAAAGCTAGAAATACCATACAATAAGTAATCTCACTCCTAGGTATATACTGTAGAGAAATAAGAGCTGTGACACAAATAGACTTATGCACACCCATGTTTATCACAGCATTATTCACAATAGCAAAAAGATGGAAACAACCTAAGTGTTCATCAACAGATGAATGGATAAACAAATTGTGGTACATACATACAGTGGAATACTACAAAACAATAAAGAATGACTGATCTGTGAAACATCTCACAACATGGATCAATCTGGACGACACTACACTGAGATAAGTCAATCACAAAAGGACAAATATTGTATGAGATCACTATTACAGATAGCCAAGAAAAGATTTACATACAGAAACATGTTTTGATGGTTACTAGGGGAAGGAAAGAGGAAGAATCACTAACTAGGTAGTAGATAAGAGTTAATTCTGGTGAAGGGAAAGGCAATACACAAGATGGAGGTGGGGTCCGAGGGGTTAGCACAATGTGACCAAGGCCAAGGAAGACACAGAGGTACACAAGAATAAACCCCAACTATGGTAAATGCTAGAGGAGCTCTGGTAGCATAGTGCCTAAGGCATTTGACTGCTAACGAGAAGGCTGATGGTTCAAACCC